CTAACAAGGGAGTTATCCCCACCACCAGGACCCCCCCCCCTTCTGATCTCTTTAATGAAGTTGGTTTCTGTCTTAGTCATTGTGAAGAGACACCATGACCAAGGCAACTTGTAAAAGAAAGTGTTCAATGGGTACTTGCTTACAGTTTCAGAGGGTGAGCCCATGACCATCATGGCAGAGAGCATGGCAGCAGGCAGGCAGGCAGGCAGGAGGGCATAGCTTTGGAGCAGTAGCTGAGAGCTTACATCTGATCCACAAGCAGGAGGCAGAGAGAAATGGAGACTATGCCTGGTGTAGGTTTTTGAAACCACAAAGCCCACCCTCAGTGACACATGTCTTCCAACAAGGCCTTACCTCCTAATCCTTCCTAAACAGTTCCACCAGCTGGGAACCAAGTATTTAAATACATGAGCCTATGGGGGCATTCTTACTCAAGCTGCCAGTCTCAAAGGACATCTGATTCTGCACCATCAACATCTCCAGGAGACTTGTTAAAGAAGACACAGTCTCCTCTCTCATCCCAGACCCCCTGAATCAGAAGCCCTAGTAGAGACAGCTGTGTGTTTCAACAAGCCCCCGTCTGTGACTCTGCTATGTGTGAGGTTTGTAGACCACTTCTTTCCTGCAGGTAGAACCAATGTCCTTCCTTCCCTTCTGACCTCCCTAGCCCTTAGCAGGCTCCTCTTTAGGTGCTGAAGACCAGGGTCATTTAGTTCTACATCCACTTTATGTACTTTTCTGCTGCTGTGGCCCAAACTCAGTGGAAATTGTACATGCAATGTCGTGAATGAGTCCTTCTAACTCTGACTCACCTCAGCCCTACCTCAGGCTACACTCACTCATTTGCTATTCCAGGCTCTCTGGTCTCTTTTTCGAAAATGTTTATGCACCATCTGGGTACCACCTTGAGAAGTCCGACCTGGAGTTTCCATCTTACTTCATCTCTTTCTCTCTTTGTGATGGTTTAACCTTAATTGCCAACTTGATTAGATTGAGAAATACTCAAGATATTAGTGAAGCACACTTCTGGGCATGTCTATGATTTCGTCATGGAGACCATTGAATCATGAGAGCTCTGACCTAATGAACAGGTCAGTCCCTGCTCATAATATCATGGAATCATTGGAGGTGGCAATGAGAGGTAGAGACCGAACCCTGGACTACTCAGGGTTCACTAAGGCTCCTTGTGAGGGTTGGGCAGAATCCTCAGACCAACAAGGTGGGGAGGGGGAAACACAGCTGCTGGCCTCATGAGAAAGAGAACCAAGTATTCTCTGAGCAGTCCATGAGGGGTATAAGCCAGCCCTTGTGTGAGGGGTCCATGGGGTGTTGAGAACCCGTTTATGAAGCAGACGGGAATGAGGAAGGGAAAACTGGGAGAATACATAGAAGGATCTCCAAGAAAGGGTGAGGATGATTGATTCTGTTTTCTGCAAAGCCACAGGGAGGACAAGCATAGGCCCATCCTGAGTGAAAGGTCCCAGTTACAGCTGTATTCTCATAGCACAAGGTCTCACCTCCTCCTCCACAGAGTGAGTCCCAGAAGAAGCCTGGCTGGCTCTGCAGGATAGCTCAGTAGATGTCTGCATCTACTTCTTCCTTTCCTGCCCTTCTTCCGTGACCGTCCCACATCATCCCTCCCACCTCATCCACCCTCTCTATTTTCATGCCCAACAGATTTGAGGCATTCTGGGTAAAAGAGTGTTTGTTGGCTTGGAGTTCCGATCATGTTATGCCTGGAAATGAACCTTTATGAAATGGAAAGTGTAATTTATAAAATAATTCATTCAAAATTATATGGAATGGACTGTAGGTGGGACTACAGATGAAACCAGATTGGCTATTGATTGTTTAAGATTGGTGGTAGCATTTGTCACACGAGCCAAAGGGTGGGAACAATGCATGGATATGAACAGGTAGACAGGCGAAGGAACTATGGTGTGTCTCTACAAACAAATATTCTTCATCCCCAGAAAGGAAGGAAATTCTGCTACACACTGCAGCATGGTGGACGCTGGGGACATGAGTGAAATAAGTGAGACACAAAAGACAAATGCAGTATTGTCCCACCTGTATGAGGACACACTCTGAGAGACATAAGAGACATAGAAATGTGTGTGCAAGGCTAGGTGGATGGGGGATGGGGAGTTGTCGCTTAAGTTGTGGAATGTCAGTCTTGCAACAGAAAAGACACTTGGAGATTGACTGCAGAATAGTGTGGGTGCATTTGACATACCTGGACTATAAACTCACATGTGAAGATTGTAAATGTCATGCTAAATCCCTGTGATCACAATTTAAACTTTCAAAGAAAGAAAAAATTTAATGTGAGTAATGTTCACATGAATAGTTATTATAGCAAGTTCTTTCCTGGCCAGAGCTTACAATTATTACACTGTAATTGTAAATAAAATTGTAGACCCAGGAATGAGTGTCTACTTCTCATAACAATATTTACAAAATTTAAAACAATTACAAATAACACAGTTATCACAAAATACAGAAAAATACTATTTTAATTGCCTGAGAAATACCTGTAAGACTTTCTCTTCATCTCTTGCCTACATCTTCTCTATCCCTCAGACACAAGTTTGTAATGCAGTTTTCTAGAGAATGAACAGAAATACAATCCAGTCTTTAATAGGTTTGATAGAAATTTTATTTTCTTTCACTACTGGTCAGCTAGAATTGTTCTAGTTAGAATCTCATTGTAAATCACATAAATTTTAAAAATTACATCATCTCTCTAAATAGCTATCTATTATTTTGAAACAGGGTCTTACTGCGTAATCATGGCTGGCCTGGAACTCTCAATGTAGACCAGGCTGACATCAAACTCACAGAGATCTGCTTGCTTCCAGCTCCTGCCACCACGCCTAGGAATCATGTAAACTGTCCAAACTGTTTTTAAATTTGGAAAGACCTCCATTATCTCCTTCATACAGAACTAAGATTTCAGACACCCCAAGTTTTCTTGTGCAGTAACTGATCTTAAAAACTCTTTGAAATGGTAAGAGTTTCTGGGTTTGTTAGCGTCAGAACCTCAGCTCTGGCAGTGCTTGACAAGCTATGCTTGGCCACCTGTCTTCAACATGCCAATCAACAAGACAAACAACAGTGCAAAGCAGAGAAAGGAGATTTATTCCATGTGGCAACACTAGCCAGACAAACAAGAGGCCCAGGGACCCCCATATCCATCTTTAGAGTCTTGATATGAAGCTCGGGTTTAAATTATTTTATGTTTCTGAGTGTTTTGCCTGCATTTATGTTTGTGCACTACATGCAAGCCTGATGTCTGAACAGGTCAAAAGAAGGCACGGGGTCTCCTGTAACAGGAGTTATGGATAACTGTGGGCAACCAAGTCCTTTTTTTTTTTTTTTTTTTTTTTTTTTTGGTTTTTGGTTTTTGAAGGCAGGGTTTCTCTGTGTAGCTCTGGCTGTCCTGAGAACTTGCTTTGTAGATCAGGCTGGCCTCAAACTCAGATCTGCCTGCCTCTGCCTCCCACGTGCTGGGGTTAAAGGAGTGTGCCACCACTGACTGGTTGTGACAAGTGTTCTTAATGCCTGAACTATCTCTCTAGCCTATGCTTTAGTTTTAAATAGAAGGCAAGATAACCAAGTAGTCCTAGTCAAGGTGCAGTCCTGCCCATCACTGACCATCTGTATCTAGGCTGGCATCTGTCCTATAAGGCTGTCTGACTAGTCGTCAGAACCATGTGAAGTATCTTCCTGGAAGACAAACTCCTCTAGCTGGTGCCAGGCTTTTTTAGCCTATCCTTTCCTCCAGCATGATATTCTTAGGGAAATTCCAATCCCTTGAGGACCACTATTGAATAGTCTGGTAGCCAGTGGGATATCTTCACTGCTGCCAGGATGGTGACAATGACTCTCATAAGTTAGTTAGTCTTTGATGTGCCCAGTAGAGTGACACATCGTGAGTTATAGTCTATAGAGGGTACGCTGGACCCCATACTTCCTCAGGCCACATGGCCATCTGTAGCTACTCAGACTGGCTGAGATCATGTCCTGGCCAGCCTCTCTTAATGCTGCCATCCCCATTCTCTCACATACACATCCCCAATGGAACCTCCTCCATGGCATTTCCTGTTAACTTCCAGGGAAGCTATAGGTGAATGTTCTTCCATGGGCTCATAGGGTCTACTTCTCTACCAATATGACAGCCGCATGATCCAAGAGCAACAGGAGAGCTAGCAACGAATTGAGTGGGCAACACAAAAGTAAATTCAAACCCATCTCCCCCTTTACCAGATTTCCAGGATGCCCACCACTACTCAAACACCAAACATCTTGTCCATGTGTATTGTAAAAAGAAACTATGATTAATAATCTGACTTTTGCAAGATTTACAAAAGACACAGCCTATGAAGATTGCCAGGCCTGAAGGCACTTGTGGATGTGTGAGGTCCTGAATTGTGAACATGGCCATCCTCACCACCTGTATTTCCCCATGGGTACTTGCCTTCAACTGGTTGTATCCTTGGTTTCTGTTCCTTCTGTGCAAACAGTTTGCTTTGCTCAGCTCCCTCCATCTTGGTCATTGTCTTTTTGTGCATAGAGGCGACAACGCTTGGGCTCCAGGTCTAACTCCCTGCACTGCGTGTGGCTTCCCTCGCTCACACCTTTGCTGATAACCCACCCCCTGGAGTGACCCCATTTGGAGGTAGCCCCTGTTCTTCTTAGGACCCTGACTGGTTTCATTTCCCTCCTCCCCAACAAGTACCTGACTTTCTCTCTTGCTTACCCCAAGTTCCTGGCTCATTCACTGTCTCAAACTATGGCTTATCCCATCTTTCTGCCACAGATGCTCTAAGCAAACCCATCTTTCCAGACTCAGCTCTCCCCATCCTCCTCCCAGGCAGCCATTACTGCTAAGCACATCCATCAGGGAGACACTGTAAAAAAGAGGGAGGTTCCTTCCCTCCCCTGGGCCAGTGAGCTGGGATTCCCTGCATCTGTGAATATGGGAATGATTAGGCTGGCCGTGTGCCCTGCTCAGATCACTTCCAGCCTCGGCGCCAGAGGGATTGTGCAGGAATGCAAAGCTGGGCATAAATGCATCTTTCTCACAAGCCTGCTTTAAAGGACAAGTCACATCAGCTCTAGAGAGGGGCCTTTGAGAGGATGGTGAGGTGGCTGCAGGAACCCCAGGGGAGCAGCATCCTGGCTTCCTTCTATCCTGCTGCAGAAAGTGCTTCCTTGGGGAGCAGCTTCAGCTGGGTAGCGAAGCAAATGGAGCTTTTCCTGGCAAGAGGCAGAAGGAGCTCCCTGGCTTTTCTTCCCTAGCGCAGAGTGGGGTTGTAGGGCTTTGCAAGCTGACTAGAGAGAGGTGGCTGTGGGACCAGGTAAGTTTCTAGGGTGAGTGAATTTTCGTCAGGAGAAGTTTCTTGTCATCAGGAATGCTGTAACTATGCTTAGTATTCGGGAGTGTCGAGACAAACACCACTGAGCACTGAACCCAGCTTTCTGCTTCAGCTTTCTTAAGCCTGCGTGCCAAAACGCAGGGACTTTCAAACCAGGAAAGAACCAGATGTCTGAGAAGTCTTTTACCAGATGTTTTAAAATTAGGTCACATGTTATCTCCTTTGTAAGACGAGAATGATAAATGTTATGGTTTGAGTGTGTGTTCCCTCCGAGTTTATGGGTTCGACTCTTGATTCCTCCACAGGGTGATGGGGGCAGTGGTGGAGTGGAGAGGGTGTTTGGGGTATGAAGGAAGAGCGCTCAGGAGTGCATGGAAGGCTTTCTCTGGATGACCTCTCACCTTTGCAGGGCTGGGGTAGCTACAGGGAGAGCTACAGTGGGGCTGCCTCTCAGGCTTTGCCTTTCTGCTGCCCAGCATGAAGCTGCCCTTGCCAGAAGCCGAACAGATGGCAAGCCCTGTGCTCCTGGACTTGACAACCTCCAGAACCGTGAGCCAGAGTAACACCTTTTCTACACAAACTGCCTGGCCCCAGGGATTCTGGCTAAGACAGTGTGCTTATCTAAAGGTAAGGATGGAATGGGGTTACCTCTAGGATCTCCATATTGGAGTGTGTGAGGCTGGGGGTGATAGCGACCATCATGGTCAGTGAAATGAATGTTATATAGACACATTATAGATACATAATATATGCAAGTGAATATACATGCATGCACAGTATGTATGCTATATATATGTATACTATGTGCATATAATATATGTGTAAATATACATATGTAGACACACATATATTTATATACATATGTAATATAATTTATATAATATATTGATAAGCATACATACATCATGCTTATATATCATCAAGCATATATATCATCATATATACAAGTGGCCCATACTTATTACACATCAATGAACAGATTCCTCAGTTGACCACAGGCAGATCTGTGTCCTAACAGATTCCATAGCTAAAATTGTTCTGACCCTACAGCAAGCTGTTTTTCTGCACTGAGCCCCCATGTTCTCATCTATAAAATGTGACTAGTGGACTAGATGATTTGTACTGCCACCTTTAGTTGTAAAAATTCTATTATTCTAGCAAAACCAACCATAGGCCGTCGGGGCAGAAAGCAGTGTTAGTCCTTCTCTCAGGTGAGTTGTCCTCCCCAGAGCAGCTCCACAAGGCCAAGGGGTCTGATCCCTGCTCCCTCATCTTGGTTCTGCTCTTTTGGGTCTGTGTGAGCTTTGACAAGTTGGCATGCCTCTCTGAGCCTCGACTTCAGGTAAACAGAGGGTTTTACAGCTAACCAGTCTCTGTGCTCACATGCTCACACCAAGTTCCTCAACCTGATTCTTAGTACAAATCCCATACTGTCCTGGGTCTATGTCAGCCCCAGCTGAGGAAGCAGGCATTTTGAGCCTTTTCTCTGAGGCGCTCTATGCCAGATAAACATTTGTCATTGTATTTCTTGACTCAGAATGTACCTCTAAATAGAACCTCCCAGGCTTAAACAGCAAGAAGATACAGAAGACAAGTCTCCCTGCATTTTGTTTGTTGCATTTTTTAAGCAGAATCTTGGACCCTGAGCCTGTTCTTCTCCCTCTGGATAACCAAGATTGACGGGACAGTAGGTTTAGATTTAGGTTTAGGTTTAGGGTTAGGGTTAGGTTTAGGTTTAGGGTTAGGTTTAGGGTTAGGGTTAGGGTTAGGGTTAGGGTTAGGGTTAGATTTAGGTTTAGGGTTAGGTTTAGGTTTAGGTTTAGGGTTAGGGTTAGGGTTAGGGTTAGGGTTAGATTTAGGTTTAGGGTTAGGGTTAGGTTTAGGTTTAGGTTTAGGGTTAGGGTTAGGTTTAGGTTTAGGTTTAGATTTAGGTTTAGGGTTAGGGTTAGGGTTAGGGTTAGGGTTAGGGTTAGTCACGGGCCTATGGAGGTGTGCTCACATCTTTTGGATTGTTTTCCTTGACCCTGAACTAGAAGCAGCTTTCTGTGGAGTCTGACTTTCAGATTGCACACATTCCACCTGTGTTTATTTACTGGCAACAGAACATGATGCATCATGACTTCCTTAAACCCAGGAGCTGGAGAGAAAGCTGTACTCACAAGCTAACAGGTTGAACAGGGAAGGCCCAAGGGCCTTTTCTCAGAATGCTGGCTATGGATCAGGCAAACCCAAGTTTGACTCTGAATTATTTTTGGCTATGTAACCTTGGGAACATTACTAACCTCCCTGAACTCGAATTTGCTTCTCAGTGAATACTTAGCGCCAGTACATTCCTATGATACAGATGTACCTAGTGCCAGGACATTCTAACGATATAGATGCACTATCCCCAGGGCAGTGGGCTCAGTGCCGAAACTCGGTTTATGCTAGCATTTTCCTTTCCCTTTCACAGCACAGCAGAAAAGGCATGTTAAGAACTCTCAGTTTGGGGCTGGAGAGATGGTTCAATGGTTAAGAGCTCTGACTACTCTTCCAGAAGACATAGGTTCAATTCCTAGTATCCATATGGCAGCTCACAATTGTCTGTCATTCCAGTTCTAAGGGGACCTGACACCCATGGCAAAACACCAATGCATATAAAATAAGAATAAGTAATTTTTAAAAAGTCAGAACAATAGCATTTTACAAAGGAAGAAAGAAAGAACTCTCAACGTGGTAACATTACAGAGCCATTGTATGTGGTAGCATTACAGGCCTGCACTCACGCCCCCAAATGGTGCTCTTCACCCTTATTCTTGCCTTCTCTGACTTGGCTGCAGGCTGTCACAGGGCCACTATGCTGTTGTTTGGGCAGTGGACTGCCTGGACCACCCCCACCACCTCTACATGCCCAAGTCAGCCTCTTTTTCCCAAGACCTGTTCACTGGCCTGGCTTGGTGGAACGGATCTCTGCCTTCCAACTAGAAGTGAACAGTACCTGAACTATACCTGCCCTGTGACTGGCACTTCTGCTTCCCCTCTGTTACAAAGAAACAAGACACTGTCCTCTCCTCCCCAAGGACTGAACTCTTTGAGAGGGACAAACAGTATCCAGTCTCATCCTGGAACCCCCTCAGCAGGGTGTGGTTCAGAGAATGATCTCAGTAGGGAATGAATGCAGAGAGGTGGATTTGCTTGAGGCGGAAAGAGAAACAGACTCATTCTTCAGAAAGGCAGCAGAAAAAGGAGAGGGGATGCCCTCTCAGCATACCTACTGTGTGATGCCCTCTCAGCATGCCTACTGTGTGATGGGGATGTTGCAAGACACCTGCATCACAGAGGGATGCTTTGCTTCATGGAGGCAGAAAATGAAGCTCGTGGGAGCTACAGAATGACAATCTGGGCACAGCTACGGGTGGGGCACTGTCCCTGGTGCTTAGTGCGTGTCAGTACTCACAACGACTGTCCTCAGTTTGTAGATGAAGAAATTGAAGCCCAGAGAAGTTATGCTAGAACCTATGTTTACAAAGCTCATCTCAAGGCAGGGCGGGTTTCTCCCCTGGGCCTGTAATGGGTGGGTCACTCGGTCCGTTATTTTCTATAACTCAACATTGCACCCTCTAGCACCGCAAATCCTCCTGACGAGCAGAAACAACCAAAAGGCTCACAGTTTGGGGGGAGGATGGGAGGCAGACAGAAGAGTCACTTTTGTGCCCCCTCCCATTATCTTGGCTTCTTTTGAATAATAATTCAAATAATTCAAGGTACAACATTCCGTTGGAACTATTCCTTTGGACTTCCCATCTCCCCTTCTCCGGGAAGTCCATCCTTGTACTGTCATTTGTGTTCCTACTGTTCATGATAGAAAGGTCCTTAGTGGGTTCCGTCTAAGGATAAAATCCAGCTGTGGAGAAGCCTGCCGTCTGATAGGCTCGGTTGGGGCCTAGCCAGGCCCCAGGTCATCCCCGACCTACTGCTGCTCCATCCTTCATCTCAGTCCACACAGCTCCCACCAGCACAGGTGGCAGGACTCGGTCTGTCTCTCGTGATATGTGTGGATGTTTTTCTCCCCAACTGCTGTGTGTCACTCCCCTTCCATAGAACCCACGGCATTCCTGCTGGCCCGAGTGTTCGGTGGCCTCCTGCAATCCCCAATGGGGCTCTCAAGGGCTTCAGAGCCAGGCTGGGTGGCATTAAGGGACAAGTGTCCTTGCCTTAGGTTCATCCAGGGCCAAGTGGTGCAGTGGGGTGGATGTGAGATGGGCCTACCAGCCTCCTCCTGGGATTCCTCACACAGGTAGAAGTACAAACGGCACCCCTAAGCATCCCCAGCCCCAACAGCTGAACTGACTCCTTCCCTGTGGAGTTTAAGCCTGCCAGTGAGCCAGGACGCCAGTGTCTGCTGCTTGCACGCACGTCTTTCCTACTCTCATGGCCCCCTCCCTGAGTCCTCTAACCCCCCTGCCCCGCCAGTCCATCGTGGTGGAACGGCTTCTTTTCCTTCCCACAGTATGACAGGGACCTTCCTAGCTCTCCTCCTTCCTAGAATTCTGTTATCGCTTTCCCATTCTTGAAGCCATTGTGACAGAATGGCTTTAAGGAGAATAAGGAGTGCTTCATTCTGCCTGTTGCATTAGGCACCAAAGGCAAGCACACGCAACTCTACAGCTTTGCTCATAACCGCCATGCTAAAATCCTGCCTGCAGAACTGCAGTGGAGTAAATCTGGGATTTGAACACAGGTCTAACCCAACCTCAACATACAAGTTCTTCCATTTAACCATTTCTCTCTTTCTCTCTCTATCCAACAAGAGCCTCTTGTGACTTAAGTCTGTGCCCGGTCCGAATTCCGAAGCAGCTAGCCCAGAGTTCCGGGCTCTACTTCAGCCCACGCTGTTCTGGGCTCTCTCCCCACAGGGATCTCCAGTGTAGATTCAGACACAAGCTTTCAAAGTGGAAATGCAAAACATCTCTCTTGGAAAGCACTTGCGTGAAGGCATCTCTGCTTTGGATCACTTAAGGCAGACTTGAGTGGCCTTTTAATGGGTTTGTTTTGTGGTTGGTTTATTCCTCTGATGGGGTGAGTGGATTTCACTTAGCTGTGTAAAGGAGGAGAGGCAGCTTAGGAGCCAAGAGGAGGGCTGGTATCAGACAGCTGAAGGATGCTGATATTTCCCACAGGTCACACAATCCCCTTGAGCACCTGATGGGCTGTTTTGGGTGCCTGGTGCTTTTATTTTGACTTTCCTTCAGCCTCTCAGGATCTATTTAAAACTGCATGCTCTTGACAAAGCTCAAGACAATTAATTGATTGCTTCCTTGTTGCAGCTGCTACTTTATATTAGCAAGGTAGAAGAATTGGCATTGTGCTCGACAGTAAAGACTATATTATGTACCTGAGGGCTCTTCTTTGTCAACTACTCTGGAATTAACTAAAACCCAAGTCGCTGGGTGTACCTGTGAGGGATTTTTTTTTCTTAATTAAATCATTTAAAGTGGGAAGACCACTTTTCTTCCAGATATTTTGAGGTGGGAAGATCCACCTTTACTCTGGGCCACGCCTTCTGCAGGCAGCCTGAATAAAGGATATGGAAAAAGGAACTTTCTCTCTTTGCTTGCTCTCGCTGGCAAGCTCATTCCTTCACTGGC